ATCCGCCGCCGCGAAACTCCATGATGTCCAGAGCGGCCAACAAAAATGGTTCAATTTCTCACAATTTATAGGATCGGAACTTTGGTGGGGAACATTGGACATGAATCTGCGCTGGGATCGGAACTTTGGTGGGGAACATGGGAAATGAATATGTGCAGGGGAAAATGGATACACCAAATTTCAGTTTCTATCTAAAAGCGGAGCTTCATTCGATTTGCGGCACCAGATTCCCCAGTGAAAATCCATTTGTATGCGTCGGGATTCCTTCGTTTCTCAACAGTATCCGCCCCGACGGGTAATTATTTTTCGCCATTGCAGAGGATTAAGGTGATTGCCTAGAAAACAATCGAGGAACAAGAATGAGATGACAACTTCTCTGGCACCAGTGAGTTGGATCTCTTGTCTCATCTACCGGGAGAAGACGAAATTCATGTAATTTTCCCCGCTAATTTACCAAGCTTCGAGGACATGGATGGGTGCTCTGTTTTTGGGTCGTGTTTCGCCGACGAGAACCAGAGGAGGTTTCCGATTGAATTTTCGGAGAGTGGCGGCTCGAATCGCTTCGGGTGGTTGATTGGGTGGGTGAGGAGGGACGGTTTCTGGGTTCCGATTAGCTTTTCGGAGGCCTCCAAGATCGATCCCTAAAGGAGGGCGGAAACAATCTCGACCCGAGTCCGTGCTGGAGAGATTAGTCGGGACTGTGTGGGTCGAGAAAGGAGAAAGAAGCGATTTTTTTAATTTCAGTTTATTTTTCTATTTTTATTTTATAAATTTTTCTATTTTTCTAATTTTTTATTTTCCACGTGGCATCCACGTCAGCGTAACATGTTGATTCACTAACGGTCAATGATGTTGACCGTCTATTTTGACGGAAATTCACGAATCGGGCCAATTGAGTCTATATGGTGCATAGTTGAGGCCATGATGTTAATTTCTGAAACCAAATGCCAAAGTTGATTATATGATCATAGTTCAGGCCACAATAAGATATTAACCCTTCCTAAAATGATCATAGTCCGCTTTGGGCCTCTACACCCGCACGGTTTTCCACTTGGGGTGCAATTCAAGGTGACTTCCCATAAGGTCACCCATCATTGTTGTACTCCACACTGAGCACGTTTAACTTCACAGTTCTCACAAGAACTCCTTCATTTCACCCCAAAACGCGTCTTGTCAGTTAAGGCCAGTTTCCTACTTATGAACCATGGATCTTTCCCGTGCTTTGTCGATGTGGGATTTGCCTAAGGTGTTACATACACCCCCCCCCCCCTTGGGACTCAATGCCCTCGTTGAGGTTTTCCCCACCATCGTTCAAGAGGAACGCGGAGAGGCTCTAATACCATTTGTAACATCCCGAACCTTTTCCCGACGAAGATACTGTCCGCTTTGGGCCTCTACACCCGCACTGTTTTCCACTTGGGGTGAAATTCAAGGTGACTTCCCATAAGGTCACCCATCTTTGTTTTACTCCACACTGAGCATGTTTAACTTCAGAGTTCTCACAAGAACTCCTCCATTTCACCCCAAAACGCGTCTTGTCAGTGAAGGCCGATTTCCTACTTATGAACCATGGATCTCTTCCGTGCTTTGTCGATGTGGGATTTGCCTAAGGAGTTACATAAGCATCAAAATCCTTCTATCTATAAGACCATGGCTGATTCACCCTTTCCCCTTATGTCAGATCCGCTGAATCAACATTAAGTACAAGCTTTTTTAAGGCATCTCTACTTAAACTTTTACCAATTCTTCCTTCATCACATTACCATCTCTTTTCTTCACCATGATGTTTTCATTAGCAATTTATAGGGACATATACATAATTCATACATTTTTCTCTATCAATGCGCATGAATGTGAGGTAATGAGCCATGACGATAATTCATCCTCATGATCAATGTAGGGAGGTAAATAGCTCATAATATAACATTCAATGTAGAATCCTATGTGACACCCTAGGGGTGGAAAATGTGCGGTTGCGGTTAACCGCACTGAATAACACGGTTAATCGCAACCTCATAAGGAAAAAATCACCAACCGCGACCGCACCGCAAACCGTTTGCGGTTAACCACTAACCACAAATCGCGATTAGTGGTTATTTGCGATTAACTGCAATACTAACCGTAAAATCTGATTATGGTTTACACGAGGCAATTACTCGCACAATTACAAAAAAAAAAATCACAAAAAATGAGCAACATGCAGTTGTAAAATTAACACCTAACAAGAAAAATGTACTTGAAAAGGTTTGAAAAAGAACATTCATATTATAATCTCAAAGAAACCATTCAAATTAAATTCAAACAGACCACAATAACACTATCCACAATTCATTTTCTCATTGGGTTAGTCTCCACGTGTGCTTGGAGATTGGCATGTATTAGGTTTTTTGTTTTTGTTTTGAAAAAGCATGTATTAGGCTTTAGTAAAAGGTAGCTTGGTTTGCGGTTAGATTGTTATTCGGTGTGGTTAGCGGTTAGTCTACAAATCGCAAAGTGCCCAATTCTGCTAACCGCGATCGCATAAAGCCCTCTTTAATTGGTTTTTTGGTTAACCGCAAATCGCGCTTATTTAGTGTGGTTTCAGTTTAACCGCAAAACTGCAACCGTTTTTTACCCCTATGGCACCTACCGTAGAATTCCATAGACATCCACAACTACTGTGTTTCATAATAATTTTTTTTTATAATTGTAACTGACTAATTGTTAAAATTTGAAAGAAAATAACGATTCTAATTGACTAAATTACATGTTTGATCACTAAATTATATAAATCTTTCATGTTTGCCACCCGAATTACTTTTCTTTCATATTAACCACTAATTTTATGAATCATTTCACGACCGGCCGCCAGTCTCCGTCAAACTCCGTTAGCTCCGTCAGTTTAGTGATGACATGTCAAACAAAAATGCTGACTGGACCATTGACTTAATGACATGTCATTTTAATAAAATAAATTAAAAATTAAAAAGCTTTTTTCCCATTCCACACTCTCCCACTCATCTTCAACCCTTCCCTTCCTTACAGCAGCCGCTGCTCAAGGCCAACGCCTGAAAACCAGCATCAACTCTATCGGCGGTCTCGCCGTGAATACCACCATCTTCGTCTTCTCCTTCTCCCTCTCTTCCCAACACCTCCCTCTCGATTCCTTGTGACGCCTTCCTGCCCCCAGCTGAAAAGAACAGTAATATAGCCACCAATAATCCATCATTCGGCCATTGTTTATCTCGCCACCCAATAATCCATCATTTGAACCTCTATCCATCAGCGGCACCATGTGAGGATATTTTTCTATTATTTGTTTCTCTCTCCTCTATCTAGTCTTCTTTCCCTATTGAACAACCCTAATTGAAAAATCCTCCACAATCCGAGTATCCGACGAAATTTGAATGCCAGAATCCATGGTGACTGACTTTGCATAGCCCCCAAATTCGATGAGCACGACTTCTTCCCATGGCAAAAAATAATTGAACCTTCAATTCATCTTCTCAAATCCTCATCCAAATTCAAAATTTCGATTTCCTTTCCCCACTCTCTTTCAGGGGTAGCAGCTCCAAATCGAACTGTCACTGCCGTCTCTCTGTCAATGGCTTACTCAGATTTCGCCACCATTTTAGCTTCGTCTCCTCCTCCTGGTCCGGTCCCCTATACTAAATCTCCTTTATTCTCTATAATTTCTTTTTGGCTTACTTTTATCATTTTCAATTTCTTTGTACGGCCCTCCAGAGGAAGGGGAATCTGACACCGACTGGATCCAAGATTGGGGTTTCCGGTGGGGAGGCAAGAGAAGGATTAAGGATCTAGGAGCCAACGAATGAGTTGATGAGCCGGGACGCAGGAAGTTCGTCTGCAAGGAACCGACGAGAGCAGCCATTGCCGGAACTCGAACTTGAACAGTCAGGGGGTGTTTGGAAGGTGGGAATCGAATCCGCTGCCTCCTCCGGCAGCTCGACGTAATCCAGGGACCTGGCTGCGTCGGCGATGACTCACAACTAGATCCGGTAGAAGATGTCTCGGAGGATGTCCAGGTTTAGATCGACTTCCTTGTGGTCTTTCTCGGCCTCAGCGTCAGCGGAAGCAGCTCACTATGTGGAAAGCGAGAGGGTGAGGTGTTAATTAATAGTTTTTTTATTTTATTAATTGACATGTCATTAAGATAACAGTCCAATCACCATTTCCATTTGCCATGTCATCAAAAATTTAATGGAGTTCACGGAGACTGACGACCAGTGACTAACCGTGAAATAATTCATAAAGTTAGTGGCTAATATGAAAGAAAAGTAATTCGGGTGGCAAACGTGAAAGATTTCTGTAATTTGAGTGACCAAACGTGTAATTTAGCCGATTCTAATTAATCACTCGAATTTGGGGTTAGCACTTAGGGGTGGGCATCGGTTCTGTTCGGTCAAAACCGAACCGAACAGGAGCATACCTAGTCCTCCAACCATCCCAAAGCTGCAACCGAATTCGAACCGAAATATATCTCGGTTCGGGATCCCGACCAACTCGAACTTCTAGAGGAATCCTCTCCCCTGCTTCCCCACATCCCCTTCAATCTTTCGTCCCACTTCTTTCACCCTCTCTCTACTGCTCTCTCTCTCTCCTAAACAAATCTCCATCCCCTTCTTTCACCCCTCCCTCTACTGCTCTGCTCTCTCTCCCTGCCTAACAAACTCTCTCCCAAATAAAAGTGTATCCCAAACAAAATTTGAATTTCATTTTCAGAGGAAAGAGAGAAAAAGGGAAGTAGAGATCTCAAAGGTGCGATTTTAGAGGGAGAACAAAGTGGGGAACGCTAGATCTATTTAGCGGAGGGGGCAGAGAATCAAAATCGCCAAGGCCGAAGCGACCCCTAAGCACTTATGTAATGTATCACTGCGAGTCTGCGCAGAAACGCAATAGAGCACGCAAAAATGTACAGGGCCCGGTTTTCGTTAGCCTATACTGGACAAAGGCTCAGATAGTTGTTTAAGCCTCTTAGAATATAAACCGATGATACTCATAAACTGCGTCCACTCAAAGTTGCAAGGGAGAGCAGGCCCAGCCCAAACTGCTTCCTCTGACTGCCTGGAAGGAAGTTCGGATGCCGCATCAAACAAAACCTCCACCGCGCCAGCGACGGCGGAGGAAGGAAGAAGGAGCAGAGAAATAAAAGAACCATCGGAGACGGAAATAGTTGCCCCTCGAACAGTAGTGCAAAAATGGCGTCTCCAGCAGCTGTTAGAGAATTGCAGCGGGATCTGGAAAACAAAGCGAACGATCTCAGTAGAATCCAGAAAGGCAAGCTCTTGGAACGCTTACCAAAACATGTTTCGTGCTTATGCGAGGGAACAGTTGTCTTTGAGTTGACTTGAAAACCCTAATCGCAAAGCTTTTCACTTGTGGCAGATATCGCGAAGAATCACCAAGTGAGGAAGAAGTACACTATTCAGCTTGGCGAGAATGAGCTCGTGCTTAAGGTTACTCTCTCTCTCTCTCTGCTTGTTTCAGCGGATTTTTTTTGAATTTGAGTTCGTCGAATCTTGTGGTTTGTCTGGATTGCAGGAGCTGGAACTGTTGAAGGAGGAAGCCAATGTTTACAAGTTGATCGGTCCGGTGCTGGTGAAGCAGGACTTGGCGGAGGCAAATGCCAATGTCCGCAAGAGGATTGAGTATATCTCAGCTGAATTGTGAGTGATTTATTTCATGCCTTTTCTTCTATAGCTGAGATAAGTTCCGTTGAATTTCTGGTCATAGTCTATGTTGGTCTCCTACCTTCTACTGGGTTAGAAGTTAGGATCGGTATGAAATTGCAGAGAAGCCAAGTGATTCAGCTACTGACTTCCATTCGCCATTGATGAACGTGATTCTGCTTTTATAACTTAATTTGTGTTTGTACATTCATGTTCGCTGGCTCTGAATATCAGGAAGCGACTTGATGCAACTGTTCAGGATCTGGAAGAAAAGCAGAACAGCAAGCGAGAGGCGGTATGTGCTCTCCCCATTCTCCTCAATTTCGTCATGCTCTTATTTTCATCCGCCAAGTGCTGACACCATAGCTCAGGATTTAAGCGTTTCTGTTTTGCATTTGTTGCCCATTGGTTTAATTTGTGTGCATATGTTGTTCAAATTTTGTGTCTTTTGAGGCTCCCATTGTTCAACTTACCACCAATTCCCTTAATACCTTAGCAAGTTGAGATATAAGTAGCGTATCTGATAACTACTTCATAGCCATTGCCAACCATTTGTCTCATCCAGAGCCAGCCATAGAGTATACCATTGATACTTGATAGAGATACCTGGTAGACTTTTATCACCTGGTCCGTGTCCTGATGTGTTGAACCTAGCAGCGTGATGTTGGCAGTGCTTGCTGAGTAGATGTTAAGGCCAGTGGACCTTGTCACGTGAAAACAGATCTACTCTTTTTGTTCGCAGGACCTATCCTGCAAAGTCCAGGAAAGAGACAAACTTTTCCTTACTTGAAACTGAAAAACACTGTTTTAAGCAAGACTGATTGTCCCTACCTATAGTTACTGTAACTTTCTGCTATATGAGAGGTAGTTACTGTAAGTCCTGAATAATAATGCTTGAACAATGATATATCCTAGTGATAGAACCTCTAATGCAAGATAGTTATTGTTGAAAGAAAATACACTGGGATAGAAGTTGTATGCTTAGCTTGAAGATAATAGGATTCTGGTGCAGGCTATGACTCTGGTTGTGTCTTCATGTCTAGGACTATTTTGTCTACCATGTAAACATCCACAATACTAAGCCAGGGCTGTTACTCTACAAGATGTTAATGAAATGGAATAGTAGCAATAGAGTTTATGAGTCCCTTAAGGAACTGCTCCACTAAGTTGCTCCGTGATGTAACTTGAAAGATCTGTGTTGTAGCATGTGTCTTTTTTTTTTATAATGGCGAGCATAGCATTGAAACTAAAGAAAGAAACAAAGTGAAGATGGGGGCTGTAGTTCACAAGAGTTGAACCAGCCACCACCCACCCAAACACAGTCTACAAGCAAAACAGAAGGCAAAAGGCAACACAGAGCACATCTAAGTGGACCAGACCACTTCTGATGGGCGAAAAGAGGCAAGGCAGCTAGAACACATCCTGCAAAACGAAAAACAAAAGGCCAGGCTGCTCAGCAAGAAAACCAAAAAACACATCATACAGCCACTGCCACCAAAACCAGAACACATCCTGTAGCATGTGTCTTTGGTTGAGTCAAGTTTCGACATGAATACTGCCTGTAGTGGCTGTGTTCTTTGCTGATCCAAAGTTTACAGCAAGTAATGGTGTCACTGACATTTCATTAGTAGTGAAAGGGATCTCTAGCATAGGTCACATTAGATTTTGCGCATATCACTATTAACATCCATTTCTTTTCGGGAACTCCTTTGAGGAGTGCCTGAGTTGATCCTTGGAAAAATTGGGTTAACCTTTCCGTTCTGTATCTTTAACTGTTCCATTGGTGGCATTTGCTTGTAGGTCTTGAAGGTACAACAAAGAATGCAAGCTCTTCAGGCTGGAAAAGCAAAAGCGTGATCGATGGACGTGTTTGTTTCCTCGGGCACTCTTCAGCTGCCCTATTTGCTTAATGCAGGGGATCTGATGCAGTACGTACTAGTTTCTGATCGAAAGCTGTATACTTTTTCCGATCCCTTTGGATGTTGCAAGTTGTGACTAGCATTACAGAAAGAGCGTTTCTATAGAGCTATGCCACATGACCCTTCTTTTGGTTGATGATTGAATCTGTACATCCGGGCTGCGGCCCCAGCATGTATGGGGTAAAATAGACATTTGGGAGGTGATCTGTCTTGTATGGGACGAGGAAACCTCTCCCAGAATGTGAGTGCGGATCTGGTGACTAAGGGGGGTGCTTAGTCACTTGACTAAGCCCCTCCTAGCCATTAGATCTGGACACTTCAATCCAATGGTTAAAAAGTGGGAAGGGCTATTTAATTAATAGCAGGGGTAGTTTGGGTATTATGAAAAATTACGAAGTATACAAACCGGATTTACAATCAGTACAAACCATACAAACATACGAACAGTACAAACTAGAGCGACAAAACATACAAACATTACAAACGTATGAACTGTACAAACAATACAAACTAGACTGACAAACAATACAAACCATACAAACATACGAACAGTACAAACTAGAGCGACAAAACATACAAACATTACAAACGTATAAACTGTACAAACAATACAAACTAGACCGACAAACAATACAAACCATACAAAAAGAAAAAACACCCGGGTTGACCTTGGAGGCTCCATCCCTATATAGAGGGGCTCCTTCCCAAAGTCAATCCGGGTGTTTTTTAGACATACAAACAGTACGAACATGGTGGACAAAAATGACAAACTAGACCGACAATCCATACGAACGGGAAAAAACACCCGGGTTGACTTTGGAGGCTCCATCCCTATATAGAGGGGCTCCTTCCCAAAGTCAACCCGGGTGTTTTTTAGACATACAAACAGTACGAACATGGTGGACAAAAATGACAAACTAGACCGACAATCCATACGAACTGGAAAAAACACCCGGGTTGACTTTGGAGGCTTCATCCCTATATAGAAGAGGTCCATCCAAAAGTCAACCAGGTTGTTTTTTAGACATAAAAAACATTACAAACATGGTGCACAAAAATAACAAAGTTTACAAACATTACAAAAAAAACCGACAAACATTACAAAATAACAAAGCATACAAACATTACAAAATATGTCAACAAACATCACAAAATGAGCACTGTCGCCGGGAAATTCTTGTCCGGCGACGATCTTCGCCGGAAAAAAATTTCCGACCAGAAAATCTCTCTCTCTCCCTCTCTCTCTACTGGGACTAGAAATAATGTGGCCAGGGACTTTAATTGCCCCGGCGGCGGGGATTGGCATGTGGAGACTTTAATTGGCTCTCTCTCTCTGCACCTGGTGGAAAGAATTACAAAAAGTGACCGCGCACAGGCGGTGGCGGATGCCCGGCGGGGAAAAGGAAAAAACGAGACGGACGACAGGGAGAAGAGCCGGGAAAAATTATTTAATAATTGAAAATAAAAATAATCATGAATTTTCAGTTTTGCCCTTCATTAAAGTAGATTAATTGTAGCCATTAGATTTTAATGAGATGGAAGGGCTGAGATTTACTTAGTCATGTGACTAAGGGACCCCCCCTTAGTCACCTGATCTTAGCCCCCAGAATGTGCCTACGGCCACGAGGTAGCAATACGGGTAGTTGCTTAATTTAGTGACGGGTAAATGTCACATTTGGTCATTGAGATTACTAAATCATGTCATGTTTAATCACTAGAAAAAATTAATATAAATTTTAATTACTTGAATTACTGAAACATGTCACATTTAGTCACTCTCCTGTTAGTATTAATTTTTTCTGGTTACTAAACATAACACGATTTAGTAATTCCAGTTACCAAATGTGGAATTTACCTATTTGGTGATGTTGCGTTTAAGGTACATTGTGAAACGAGGAGAGTGATATGGTCCACCACTTTATATTTGGAGGATGGTTCTCCATCTCCCATCTAATAGTCCATAAAAATGGCCATTAAATTAAGGGCCCAGATTTGTTAGGAAAAAGTAGTAGTGGAGAGTGAGGTCAGCAAACTAAAAAACAGTTGACGATAAATCGTTTTTTGGAGCCCACGGACTGAAAAGAAGCTGACACGAGGGAGTAGGGAATGCAAGTACTAGGAAATGATGAATATTCTTTCTGTTCTGTACAAATATGTTTTGGGATTAGTAAGAATATATTTTGTGTATAGTAAGAATATGGTTTTTAATACGTGTTATGCTATTTTGAATAAAAGTTGTGAAAAATATGAATATACAAATCACACTTATGGAATATGTTTTTTGTTCAATACAAATATATATTTTTTGTTCAATACGAATATGTTATTCTAATGTGTATTTTTGTTCAATACAAATATAATATTTGTTCAGTACAAATGTCTTTTGTTCAATACAAATATGATTTTTGTGCAACATGAATATACATATACAACTTGTAGGTAGTATGTGTAAGCTAAATTTTGTTAAACATAAATGGCCAACTTGTCAATTACTTGTTCAGGTCATGAGTCCCATAATCCACTATCTATTTTCCTAACAGATTTGAGCTTTTAATTTAAAAGGCCATTTTATGGGCCATTGGATGGAAATGGAGGACCATCCTCCAAATCCCAACTAGTGGACCATATCCTGGTTGGCTAAAGCTGGGAAGGGAATATTCCAAACATCATTGTGTAACGTGCAACAAAAAAGGTAGAGAATTGAGGAGGCAATATTGCGTATGGACTCGATCGGTTTAGTGAATTAAGAGTGACGATCAAGATGGTCAAATCAATTTATGCCGGTATACCGGTTTCGTAAGTGGAATGGTTCTACCGTCATACATCGATTATGTCGGTTTTAAAAAAAAATTGAATACTAATCTAATAACCTATTTAGAAAAATATTTCTAAAATATACATCATATTTAAATAAAAGCCAACATAATTCAACCCTCTAACCTTCCCTGAATCTAATAATGCTTTGATTCTCCAGTAGCTCCTCTCTTTTGTTTTTGAAGTTTGGGTGCTCCTTTAAAAATGAAAAATGATAGTCGTGTGTTGATGGCAATTTTGCCCACACCTATGGGTATTTTACTATACAACTCAATTGGGTTGGGTATGAAATCTAAATAGATGGATATGAGTTTGTACCCAAATGATAGAGTTTGATGGGTTTGTACCCATATCAATTTACTTGGGTTGGGTTGGATTTTTAACAAATGGATTTGGGTTTGTATCCACCCCCAAATTCAAATTACAGTTTGGTGCCTAAACTTAATAGATATGCATATTTAGTACCCAATTTTTGTTGCGTATAAGTCCTCAAAATATTGATGGAAAATTACATTTTAGTACCTAAATTCATTTGTTCTTACATTTTGGTACCTAAACTATTCAAGTTTTACAAATAACTCCAGTTTTTGTATGTGTAGTTAAAACACACTCAAGTAAATGAATATCCATATCCAACCCATACCCATTTAGATTATGGAAGCAATATTCATACCTTATCCAAAACAATCTACAAATCCCCAAACCCATATACATTTCACCCATACCCAACCCGTTACCAATGGGTGGGTAATTGTTCATCCCTAGGCAAGGGTAAAGAAAAGAAAGAAAGAAACATTATAAAGAAAAGAAAAGTCTACCTAGGTGGCCAGGTGGGGAGTCTGGGGATGGGTGTGCTGCCTTTAATTTAATATGTGCAGTCGAAGGTTCCAGAATAAAGAATTCTAGTTGGACCACTTGAATTTTTCGGTTTTGTCCGATTTTGACCGGTATTGACCAGAGCATTATACTGCTGGGTCTTGAACCACTAATTCATTATCATATTGTCAAAGAATGCGCTTGTCTTGCAACATAAACCCAGAAATTACGATGCACTAATCGACTATATGGTCCACCAGTGAATTATCATATTTATATTTGGTTCGGTATGGTCCGGTCCAAGCATATTTTGGTTTGGTATGGACCAACGGTCGCACACCCCTACATGTGGAGAAGAAGGCCGTGACAGTTAAGATTGTTGGAACCTTGGAGGCAAGGACATTTTGATGTCAATTACGTAAATCTAGGTTACCAAAGGCAACCTCAAAGAGGATATGCCCTATACTGGAGCTACAACCAAAACCACATACCATATGATCAAGGACCAACCAAAGAAGGAAGGAAGCCAGATGATTAGATTCATGATCAACAATGATCCCCCTCAACAATTGCCCATTATATTCATGATCAACAATGAAGCAAGAAGCCCAAAAGAATGACGATCACTACCCATCTTGAATGATGTGATCACTACCCACCACTCTTTAGAGATTTGATAGCTCTAGGAGCAGTAGAGGCAGTTGTGCCCCAACTAAAGAAACTTATCTCTGTGGAGAACCCAAAAGAGAAACCTGATATTCTCATTGAGGATGATAGGATCAAGCAAAGGGAAGAAATTATAAAATCTAACCCTTGGTTTACAAGCAAATAATCCTAGTGCATTAGCTAAAGAAAGATTCTAGTCATTGCACCATCAGATGTGTACTAGAAGATCACACTATGGAGAAGGGAATTGTTGATTTTGGTTCAAGCATCAACATCCTACCTCTCCAACTCTACGAAAAGATGGATCTTGCAGATATGGAGGACATCAACATGGAAATCAAGTTAGCTGACAACAACCCATATCAATCACTTGGGATAGTCGGAGGCTTGAGTGTCCAAGTAGGACCATTCATCTTATTCCCAAATTACATAGTGATCAACAGAAAGATTGATGATACCTATTCCCTACTCTATGGGAGACCATTCCTTGCACCTGTCGGAGCAAAGATTGATGCAAGAAGAAGAGATACCACTTTACACATAGGAAAGATCATGCAGCGGATAATGAAGCCTATGCAAGCTAAGGTAATCGACCATGATTACAGTGATGATGACTTTGTGGCTAATGCTAAAGAAATGGAGTCGAATATGGAGATGGAGATCAGATCGGGATCTCTAGTTGAGAATTCCAATCGAGCAACTTATCATCACTATGAGCAAGATATTGTATGGGGCAACAAAATAGTTCCAACTCCACTAGCTTCAGATTTGCAGTTAGTACAAGGCCCAAACGATGTTAGAAAGAATCGATGAGTTAGAGTACAAAACATTGAAGGATTATCAAGACTTCATATGCTTTTATCGTCAAAACGGATTCAATCCACATCTAGTTAAACCAACAAGGGAGAACATAAGTGAATGGGGGGATGGATGGACGTCTAAGCTTGAATGGTCATCGAACTAAAAGGAGCATGGCTATGCCTAGCTCAAAGGCATAGAAAAAAGAGCGCTCTATTGAAGGAGGTCCATGTCTGGAGTCAAACTTACTGATGTTAAATAAAAGTGCTATCGAGGTGACAACCAAGATTTCTATTCGTCCTTTTCTTTATTTTTTATGTGAAAATTATGAGTTTACCATTGGAGGATGCTTATTACGAGTTTTTATACTTTGGATAGGTGATATATTTTAAAGGATAATTTTGAATGAATTATTGCAAAAGAAGGATTTGATGGAGAATTGTTGCACAAAATTCACTTTCATACTATCATGGTAAGTGAACTGACATGAGAATATAGGAAACCAACAAAAAACATGTCAACCACCCATAACGCTGCATGGCAGAGCTGACCACCACTCCCTAAATTCCAATAAAACCCTCAATGTCAATCCCTTCCCTCATTTTCCACTTCATTTCATCACTTGATCTCTCTCTCGCTCACTCTTCAAATCCAACCCTCATTTCCTCTTCTTCTTTTCAAATTATCTCCCAAATTCTCAAACTTTCAAGCATCCAATCCACCTCCAAAACTCAAAATTTGACCCTCAAATTTGGGATACAACCTACTCATCACCAAATCCCAAGAATAAGTTCTTCAATAAATCATCTACTCTACTTGAGGTGGTCACCACCATCTATAAGCCGCCGCCACTCTCTCTTCTTTCGTCAAGTTTTTGCTATATCTGTTGTTAGTTCTTGATAACTCGATATTTGCACATGTTTTAGCCCACCATTCTTATACTGTTTGAGACTCGTTTCTCGTGTTTTAAAATGATTTCATGCTAGGTTGTTCTTGCAATGATGTATTTAAGGTCTTGGACCAGCTATGTAGGCTTGGGAGCGAGTTTCGGGTCAAAAGCACTAAGGGGACGAAAGGAGGAGTTCAAGGACCAGAATCCCCGGTCAACCATCAAAAACCCGACAAGGGAAATGCCATCAGAGGTTGCGGAAGTCGTCCAGGGATTTTCCCGGTCTGGACCCCCTAATACCCGACCGGGGAATTAAGCGCGAGACCTGGTTTTTGTCTGCTTCGACGACTTACCGATGCACGCCGTCTTTTGAAAAGGCATCCGAGTTTTAGAGATGAAAACAGAGTTTTAGAGAGAAAGTGACGAACCCAACCTCCAAGGTAACCTAGATCGAGTTTTGACACCATTGGAGCTCGATTAAAGCCTAGAGAAGAATCGATTGACAACCAGAATCTGAAAACTCCCTCTCTCACCTGGGTATGAAGAACCCTAGAGTTGTATGTTAGGTTGATTATATGAACCCAAGTACATGATATTTTGATATTGATTATATTCAATTGAGGCATGATTTCTCAATTGTATGAGTCTTGATCACATTCTTGTAGTTTCTGCTTTGACCTAGAAAGCGAAGTTAGTTCACCTCTCTGCACTGGATTTGATCAAGTAGAGAAGGTT